CAGAAATAGAAGGTTCAAAAAAAGTTAGGCTAGTTAGAATGAGAATGGAATCTTTCCTCATGCCTCAACCTTTATACTGTTAATCCTTTTAGTAGCTTGGTTAAAGTGCCTCCATTTTATATATTTCCTATCTTCACTCTTTCCTCAAAGGACGTAGTCTGCATTAACCACTTTAAAAGCCAGGAGCAGGTTCCTTCTGGGAGATAATTTCCCTGCTGCTAGAAACTAGGGTCGTGTCCAACTTTTACTAGTATAAATAGATTTCCTGGGGAAATATTTATAATTAACATAATAATTTATAGCTAAATACATCTCTCTATATATAGATATATAAATCTAAATACAGGGAACCAATGGGTAGGTTCACCAGGTCAAGAGCATGTGGCGTGTGCATGCAATGCCCATATTGGCCACTAGGTGTCAGCACTTTGCCATCTGTTTCCAGGTGGCCTTTTTCCATGGGAATCCATGGACTCCAGCAGGCAACCCCAGCAAAGATTGGGGGTCGGGGGAGTCTGCTCTCTGCGGGAAGCCTCCACCTTTTAGAGGATACTGCTTAGCTTTCCCCCGATCTTAAAAGTAATCGCTGAAAAAAATAAAACTGTAAGATGAGAGGAAAAATTGCCCATAGTGCTGCCTCCTGGTTAGAACCAGTTACATACTTTAGGTCTTTTTCTGTTGTATGTGTGAAGATGGTAATAACTAATGCTATTATGTGACAGGCACCGTTCCAGAGGTTTTTTATAGATTATGTCATCACTACCGAGGGTGTCCAACCCACAGCCCGCAGGCCACATGCAGCCCAGGATGGCTAGGAATGCGACCCAACACAAAATTGTACACTTACTTAACACCTTTTATTTGCTCATCAGTTTTTGTTAGTGTGTGTGTATTTAATGTGTGGCCCAAGACAACTCTTCTTCTCCCAGGGAGGCCCAGAGATGCCAAAAGGTTGGATACCCCTGCTAGTATAGACCAAGAAGGTAGGGACTATTTTTTCTGTTACTATTTTGTATGCAGTATTTGTACAGCCTGATTGAGATATATTTCATGTATCGTAAATTCTACTGTTTCAGGTGTACAGTTTAGTATGTTTTAGTATATTTGTGGAGTCATACAGCCATCCCATGATTTAATTTTAGAACATTTTTGGTACCACAGAAAGAAATGCCATACACATTAGCAGTCAACCATTCCCAACCTTGCTCTTTCCCCCAAGTAGAAGAGACTATTCTTTTATTGTTAATTAATTACTTTTTTGCTGTAGTAAAAATATTTAATATGAGATCTATATCTTAAAAATACTTGTAAGTGCACAATAGAGTATTGTTAACTATAGGCTCGATGTTGTATAACAGATCTCTGGAACTCATTCATCTTGCATAACTGAAACTTCATACCTGTTAAATAGTGAGTTTCCATTCCCCTCTTCCTCGAACCCCTGACAACTACCATTCCACTCTCTGCTTCTGTGAGTGATTACTTAGGAAACTTGATACACATGGAGTCATAATACAGTATTTGTCTTTCTGTGATTGGCTTATTTAACTTAAACCTAAGCCCTCAAGTTTGATCTATGTTGTTGCAAATGGCAGGATTTCTTTCTCTTTAATGACCGAATAATGTTCTATTGTATGTGTATGCCATATTTTCTTTATCCATATTTGTTGATGGACACTCAGGTTGTTCCCATATCTTGGCTATCGTGAATAATACTGCAATGAACACGGCAGTACAGCTATCTCTTCAAGATCTTGGTTTTAACTCTTTTTGATAAATATCCAGAAGTGGGATTGCTGAGTCTTAGAAAAATCCTATTTTTAACTTTTTGAGGACTCTCCACACTGTCTTGCACAGAGGCCGCACCATTTTACATTCACCCTCACAGAGCACAGGGCTCCACATGCTCACCAATACTCGATGGCTTTTGTTTTTTTGATAGTGGCCATCCTACGAGGCATGAGGCAATATCTCACTGTCGTTTAGACTTGCAGTTCCCTGATGTTTCACGAGGGAGGAACTCTTCTTATCTCAAAATTGCCAAACAGAAAACAGATGTCCAGAGATGAATTTATTCAAGGTCACATGACTGGCCGTGTATGTCAGAGCTGGGGTTCGAACCCAGAAGAAGAGCTCCTGGGTGTGCCAGCCCAGCCAGCATACTGCCCTATCTTCCAGGTGCTTAGCAAACCTGCGGTCATGCTGTTTTGTATTCTGTTCTTGTTTCTTAATGTCATGTTAGAATGGTTTCTCATGACATTAAACATTCTTCTAAAACATGAATTTAAGGTGGCGGTGTGACGGCCTCGCTACGCTGTGGACACTGTTTAACAGCCATCGGGAGGTCCCCGGTTTTCCGCTTGGTAAGATGCTCTGAGGATCACATCGCTGCCCATTTGTGTTTGTGGGCATTTCAAATTATTGTCTTAGCATAAATCTTAGAAGCAGAATTGCTGGGTCAAAGGCCAGAAATATACAAAGACACACCACCTCTAGAAAGATTGTACCAATTTACACTGCTACAAGAAGTGTTTGAGAGGTATCTTTTTCCTTTTTCTTCGCATTTTCTCTCACCAAAGGCTGGACGTCCCTTTGATCTGCGATTGATAAAGGATCAAAGTGGAGGGTGGGGGAGATTCTTCCTTTGAGGATCAGAATTGGTCCTCCCGTTGGTCACACGGGTTACAAATATCGAGCCTCAGGAACAGTTCAGCTTATTTTAATAGGCACGGCTTCAGCCCCGGCCACGGGCTTGGTTCAGGGAGGAAAGCCTGGCCTCTTACAGTTGATATAATGGCAGTCAGCCCTGTGGCCACCATTGCGTGTCTCCACTTGTATTTACTGAGGGCCTACGCTGGGCTGGCACCCAGTGCTGGAGGCGGGAGGTTGGAGGAGACTTCCCTCATCGGTGCCACGGGGGGCAACGTGATCAGCCATGCAGGGGGTCGTGGGACACAGTGAGATGGCTTAGATCGTCAGCTGGAGCTGCTGTCATCGCTCTTACCATAATAGCAAGGGGGGTAAGTGCTGGTTTCTGGCCAAGAGATACGCAGCTTATGGTTCCATGAAGACCTTCTTGGAAAATGTGTTTCACAAACATGCAGTTCACTTGAGGCTCCATTCAGCCCAGTTCAGGACTTGTACTGTTTGTTTAACTTCTGATCCCACCCTTTCCTGCCCTTTGTCAGCTCTGCTTCCAGGCCTCTTTTGACTCCCCTTAGGCTGCTCAGAACCCGAGGCCCTCTCAGAGGGGCTGGGTACACAGAACCGCGGATGCGCAGTGGATTCGCGCACAGTGGTGACTGCAGAGTTAGGGGGTGCGGCGGCAAGACTGAGGTCAGTGTGACACCCCCATATCCCTAGGGGCCTTTCCCTGGCTCCCCGAAGAGAAAGCCCATCGCTTCTCCAACACTGCTCTTGTTTTCCCCATTTGGCACCCGCCACTGGCGTTATCACTTATCTCATTCTTCTCCATAACTCACCGGTGGGTTCCTAATCCAGCCCTCAAGCTCAGGGGTCCACTTTAGTGCCTGGTGCAAAGTAGGTGCTCAGTAAATATGTACCAAGCAAAAGGTGATGAAGGACGACATCGCCTTCCCTGATGTTTGCCTCACTGTGTAAAAGGCAGTACGATGCACTGAGACGGGGCTGTTCTCTACCTTTATTCTTTCCTGCTCCTTCTTCTGTCTGGACCCCCCTCCCTCCGCCTCTGACCCCTGCTGCTCCCCTCCCAGGCCTCTTCCTGGGGTCTCCAGGTGGGAAGGTGATGCTCCCACCCCAAACTTGCCAAACTGTGGCAGCTCAAACCAAATGGTTTGGGAACCATCCCTCTGGAGACAGCTCACGATGGTATGCTCTGGCAGGCTGAAGGCTTTGCGCGCCTTGGGTCTGCCTTTGTGTGACAGCCTGCCTCCCCAAGAGAGAGTTGGAAGCCAAGGGCAGGGCCATGCTCGGTGTCTGATGGGTAGGAATGGCCCAGGCATCCATGTGGGCTCATGATCTGGGAAGCAGGACTGGGTGGTGGAGAGCTGGTGACCAGGGTCTTTGCCTGCCTCAGTGTGTGTGTGTTGGGGAGACAGAGTGGAATCATCCCAGTTTGAAGGGCCTCATCCAGAGCCCCCCCAGAACAGAAGGCCACTGCCAGAGGTCCTCTGAGATGGGAAAAATAGAATCTATTTTTTAGTCATCCCTCTGAGTGAGGGGTGGCAGAGTTGGTGGGAGAGTCACAAACTCTTCTACCATCTGGAACATCTTTCTCCCACTTCTGGGGACTGCTTCTTCCTAGCTCCAGCAGTGGTTCTGGAGGAACCTATCAATCACCATCCACAGCACAGAGACATGGGACCAAGGAGAGCCAATCATAGTACTCTATGCCTTGGCCACAGTGATTGGTCCAGGGCTGGATACATAACCTGAGATGGACCAATCAGATCCCTCCCTGGCTCTCTGCTTTTTTTTGTCCCTCAGCTTCTCTCCTTTCCAGTTGAATGCCTTAAGGATGTAAAACTCTGGGGCAGGTAATGGCAAAGTCCTTCACCACGTGGAGAAGCCTGGTAAAAGAAAGCTTTCAGGAGAAGAGAATCAAAGATGAGAGAAGGGAGAGGGAGGGAGAAAAAGAGTGAGCTGATGGGTTTTGGTTTCTAGGGGTCCAGTTGCCAAGCTTTTTGGACCTGCTTTGGCTCTGCATCCTGGATCCCCAGGACTCCTTCCAATTAGTGGCCCTTTTCAATTCAGCCAGTTGGAGTTGGGCTCCCCTCACGTGGTGTGGTCCAGGCTACATTCTAGAGTCCCGTCTGATTCTGAGGCACTTCCCAGACCCAAATAGAGGCACCGTTCATATTAGCACCCTTGAAAATGAGATCCTTTATTGTCCGCTGAGAATAGGGCTTTGCAGGGCAGCAGACACGGTTGTAGCCGGCTCCCCCAGGTGGGAGCGGCTCGAATGTGTGAGTGAGTGTGTTTGGGGTGGGCCTGGCTGCTTCCGGGGGCATTGCCAGCTTTCATGCCGCTGCAGGAGCCAGGCCAATCCTGTCGTTTCCCCGATCGAAAACGGTGAAATACAGCCTCAGGAAGATGTCACCCAGGATCCAGAGAGTAGAGTGGTTTAAGGTGTCATCAAAGTTGCTGTAACAGGTGTCAAAGAGACCCTGCAGGAGAAGAAAACACAGCCTGAGCCCTCGCCTGCCACCCCTTCAGGACCTAGAGCCGGTGGCTTCTCAGGCTTATTTCCTGGCTTTCCGAGGAACCACGCGGCTCTTCCCCGCGGTGACAGGGCGGAGCGCTCACCCAGGACCTGAACCTGCTCCTGCCGTTTCCTCTGCAGAAGCTGCCTGTCCTTCCCCCCTCCACCCTGACTCACTCTTGAAGACGGAGCTCAGCCGTCCCTGAGCAGCCTTCCCGGACCCGCGCCCGCCTTCCTTGGCCTCTCCGAGCTGGGCGGGCTGATGTCCTGGGAGTTCCCGGTGTCTTTATCCCTCATCCCGCTGGATCTGCCCGGGCACCCCTTTGCACGGCTCTCTGGGGTGCCATTTGCATGGAACCTAGTGTAGACCTGCCTTGGCCTGGGCAGGCCTCCTTGTGCCTCCAGGGGCCTGGGGGCTTAGAATTCTTTCAATTCCCTTATTCCTCGGGGCCGCCTTTGAGTCCGTTCACACCTCCTCTGAACTCCCATGGGGAACGGGCATTTATTAAGCCTCAACTATGTGCCAGGCACTGTGGTCACTCTGCATCCTTTATTCACCTCCACAAAGGGAGGAGTCGGTACCCCTTTTCACAGAGGGGGACTTGGGGCTTAGCAAGGGGGATTTGCAACCTAGGACTAGGGTGACCATATGATTTATGGTGGGAATCAGGGCACTTTTGAGATGGGAAGGGAATGCAGTTAAAAATTATGGTGGGACAGCACACTGGGACTGTCCCCAGCCAAGCGCACCTGTCCCTAACCTTTGCCTGTTTCCAGGGTTGCTACGGCTGACTTTCCACATTCATATGAGTGCCCTGGTTGCACGGAAGCTCTTTGAGGGCAGAGGCCATTAGTGTCCTGTCCCCTTGCGCCTAGCACCGTGCCAGCATGGGGTGGTCACTCCATATTTATCTGAGGATGGTGGATGCCTGAGCCTGCCCTTTGCTAACAAGACATTTGTTTTGTGGGAAGTGCCCTCCCAGCCCTCCCAGGGGCGCTCGGCAGCATCTGCAATGGCGTGGCTTGGCCTGCAGGGGGCCTCTTCCAGGCTCAGCCCAATGGGTCCCACGGGTCCCAGACTTGAGACCCAGCCCCCAGGGTTGGCCCCTCACCTTCCGGATGTAGGCAGTGGCTGGCACCGGGTACCTGAAGCCATTGATGGTGAAGACGATGTCAGGCAGGGTGTTGATGGCATTACAGTTGACCACGTACTGTTAGAGAAAGAGGGAGGGAGACGGTTGGCCCAGCTGACCCTTCTGTGTGTGGAGAGCCCATGAGTGACCCTGTGGCAGGACCCTTCACCTCGCCAGTGTTGGTGATCTGGGCGTTGATGGTCTTCAGAATGTCGAAGATATCGTAATTTGGGCCAATCAGCAATGAGGTCCCGGTATCAGCAATGGCCTCGCAGCCGCCTTCGCAAGCAATAACCCTCCCATTCATGGAGATGCTGAGAGACAGGGGGACAGAGCGGGCACCAGGGTCACTCTGTAGCCTCCCCCCACTGCTGCACCCTCCCTGCCTATCTCCAGACCATCCTTCAGCTCATGCCCTCCTCTGCTCCCCCTTATTCTGATCACACTGGTCTTTGACTTGCTTTCAGTTCTTGGATATGTTGCGCCCATTCGTGCCTCAGGACCTTTGCACTTGTTGGCTGCCCTTCCTAGAATCAACCCGTCAGCCTGGTCTGGCTGATTTCTCCTAGTCTCCAGGTTCCTGATTAACTGTCACTTTGTCAGGGAAGTCTTCCCCCCACATTAGATCAGGGGCCTCTCTTGGTCGCTCCCTGTGTACCCTTATGTATCAAAGTGATAATTCAAGATTTGTGTGGCTGGACCTCTCATGTATGTCTGCTCTAGTAGGTGGGGGGAGCACACTGTGTCCTTGCGGACCCCTCAAATGCCCAGCACACAGTGGATGCTCAACACGTGTTTGCTGAATGAACAAGTAAAGGAATGAGGTTAGCCAGAGACATGCATCTGGTGTCTGTCCAGCTATGAAAGCCACACAGTGAAGATGGAGGGTCTCCTGAGAAGCAGATGCTCAGGGTGGTAGGAAGGGAGTTGTGTGTTGTCCCCGCCCTCCTTCCCCAGACACTGAGGCCCCTGGCGATGCCTGAGCTAGCCCAGGGGGCAGGACGTGGGCCTCCAAAGGACATTTTAAACTTTTGTCTGATGGCATTACTCAGAATGCCATCAATTACTGTCCCTTTGTTTTCCGGCCAGTCCTGAATCCCCAGCTTCCTTACTCTCTTGGTCACGCCCCCTGGTACCCAGGACTGGAATGGAGGTGTATCCCTTTGGATGATCTGCTTTCAAGTCTCCAGAACGAAGCTGATGTCTCTCCACTGCTGGGTAGATTCTCTCTAGGGTGACCAGCCTTCCGGTTTGCCCAGGACTTTCCCATTTTCAAATTGGCAGTCTCATGTCCCGGGAGCCCCTCCGTGCTCGTGACCTGGGATGGTCCATGGCCGTGTCGTGACTCTGTTCTGACTGCTGCAATTCTCCTGGACCCCCTCTCACTGAGCTTTGCCCCACAGCATGTGGGTGCAGCTCTCCCATGCTGCACAAGCCATTTCCTAGACAGCTCGGTCCCCAGGCCTTTCCCCTGTCATTGTGCTCCGTGACGGAGGCCCAGGACAGCTTCTCTGGTCAGGACCCTGGTCGGGCGGCGACGACGAACCCATGCTGGTGTGTGTGTCTATGTGTGTCTGTGTCAGAGTGTGTGTGTCTTGTGTCTGTTCATGTCTGCATGCGTCCGAGTCTGCGTGTGTCTGCGCGCCTGTGTGCAGCTGTGCCTGTGTGCACGTGCGTGCGTGGGGATGGCATCCCTGTGGCCGTCAGCGGGAGGGACTTACCTGTCCACAGTGATCTGCCAGAAGCCCTGTTTGCTCACTGGCACCCACTTGAGCTCCCCCTTGTAGTAGGAGCTGTCCACGCCGCCAAACATCGCCACGCTGCCCTTCTTCTCGTTGCTGAGGGGGAGGCAGAGAGAGAGCTCATTGTGACGGGACCATAATGGGCGGCTATTCTCCAGCTCAGTGACACACCAGGCCCAAGGGTTGCTCTTATCAGGGATGGCTTATCCACACATCACACAGCCCTGTGGAGCAGGCACTGCTGTGGTCCCCACTGCACAGATGTGGAAGCTGAGCACAGAGGTGCTGAGTCCTTGCCCAAGGTCAGTCACAGGGCTAATGAGTAGCAAAGCTAAGGTGCCAACATGGACAGTCTGGCTGGGCTTTGACCACCCACTGTTCTGCAGCCATGTCCCCCCAGCAACCAGAGCGCTTGGAAACGCTGTCCGTGGATGCTGGGCCAAGGGGCCTAACCTGTCATTTTCCAAACAGCTGAGGCCCCTGGGAAGCCAGGGCCAGGTGTTCAGGTTCCCACAGGGTGACTTCACAGGCCTGTGATGTGCTGGCTACAGGGCCTGCGCTCATTAGGGCCCCACGCCCCTGTGTCCCTGTTTTGAAATTCCTAGGACTTTTTGAACAAGAGGCCCTACCTTTTCTCTTTGCACTGTCTCCTGGAGATTACGTGGCTGGCTCTAGGCTCATGGTAAAACATTAGTGAGGGAGAAAACACCCCGGCCAAACTCCTCTCCTTTCTGCTGCATCGAATCTACCAGCAAATCTTGTTGACTTTTCCTCCTACCTACGTCCTGAGCCCTCCACTGCTCTTCCCTTCCCTTTCTCCTCCCTGGGCCAAGGTGCCACCCTCTCCCTCCCCAAGAGATTGGGTAGCCTTTTCCCTGGCCTTCCTGCCTCCTCCCTGGTTCCTCATGCGCCACCGCGTGCCCAAGGTGAGCTTTCGAAAATGGAGATCAGATCGTGTCTTTTCGCTGCCTAACCCCGTGCCAGAGGCCCCCCACTCCCGCCTAAAGAAAGAGCCCTGGGGTGGCCGGGCCCTGCCTCTCCCAGACTTCCTGCCCTCCCTGCCTCCCTCCCTCCTTCCAGAGCTCCAGCCCCTCTGGCCCTCTGCCAGTCCTCTGCTGCGCCCTGGGGCTGTGGCCCTTCTCCCAGCGCTGTGCTCTCAGTTCAGAGAGGTCTTTGCCGCTGCCCACCAAAAACCACGTTCTCACCACTGTCTACCCTGTCCCCTTGTTTTCTTGTTTTCCCAGAACCAATTACTTTCTGGCATTATCTTTTTATTTATTTATTACTTCTGTGCCCCTTCCTCCTTCTTGTCTGTCTTCATGCACACAGAGTAGCACTCAGCACGTGGCCGGTGCTCAATAAATATTTGTTAAATGAGTCATCTCCTTTGATTGGATACAAGTATCCCAGAGACTTAGGTTAAATAGTTTGCTTCCCTTTATGCCTTAGAGCTGGGAGCTCCCATTTCCTCAGAGCCTCAACCACACCTTCTGCCTTCTCCTGGGAACTAGGGGGACAACCTCTGCCTTTGGTGGGAAGCCCCCTCCTCTGGCCTCTGCTTCTATCCCCGCCCCATCCAGGCCCTCAGCCAGTCAGGGACATCAGCTTTTCCTGTTGCCGAGCCCAGTGACGGAAGGCCTGCTGCTGGCTTGATCACCCAGCAGAGGGGGCAGTCCCGTGGACTGAGTTTAAGCCCTGCCACTACCAGGATATGGCTGGGCAATTTTGTGCAAAGACCCTCTCTGAGCCTCAGTTTCCCAATTTATAAAGAAGGGAATTGAGCTACAGGGGTCAGAGAACTTTTAACAATGCTAGATTGTCGCTATTTTAGGCTTTGCAGGTTGCATGACCTCTAATACAATTGCACGGCGCTGCCCTTGTAGAGCAAAGCGGCCAGGGACAGGATGTAACGGAATGAGCAGGGCAGTGTTCTAATAAAACTTTATTTATAAAAACAGGTGGCAGGCCAGATGTGTCCCTGGGCCGCTATTTGTTGAGCCCTAGACTCAACTATCTCTCAGACAACTTGTAGATCAAGTCATCTATAATTTTCCATGCAACTGATAGCATCTTACAGCTGGTTTGGAGAAAGGGCTTACCCAGCCCCGACTTACCTGCTCAGGTAGAAGGCAAAAAGATTCTGAGGAATGGCGCCTTGTGCCCACAAGTTGTCGAAGACGGGAGTGGTACCAGAGAGCGCAATGTTGGGGTAGCTCAGGCCCAGGATGCCATCAAAAGCCCCATATTCCAAGGTCTTGCTGATCTCTGTCTTGCTCAGGCCAAATGCCTGGGATTGGTCGACAAGGCTCCCGATCTGTGGGAGAGGAGGGTCATCTCATGGGAAGCTTTGGGAAGCAGGGCTGGGCTGGGCTGGGCTCAGGGGAGGTGGGCAGAGAGATACCACTAGCATTCCAGGGGTAAACTGAGGCACGGCTGTGCCTTGAGCTGCCTTCCGATGGTTATGACACGCAGAGCAGCGATACACTGTGCGTTGCCGGGGAGCTCAGCCAACACCTGCCCCTCCTGCTAACCTCATGTTAGTTAGTAAAACGTGCTTTGTGCCCCCCGTTTTTTAATAGCTGGGGAAACTGAGACTCAGTGAGACCAAGGGGTTCCTACTCAAGGACAAAATGAGCAGAAAGCATGATCGTCTTTTTGGCATTGCCGTGATCTGATGGCAGAAGTGGAGGGGGTTCATTGCAATCCACTGTGGACTCTGCATCCCCTGGGAGACGGAAGTTGGTTGTACCGTGTAGCCGCCAGGGTTCTAGTGAAAAGTCTGCCTGGGAAACCTGCTTCGGGATGTGTGTGTGTGCACTCAGGCCCTCTGGGGGGCAGTCCACAGTTTTTATTATTAGATTCGCATGGGCCCCCCCAAAGGAAGAATGTTTTCTTCGGGGCCCTCCTGCACCTGTGGCCCCCTGCTTCCCCTGCGCTGGCATCCAGGGTCCCCAGCAGCCCCCAGAGGCATCAGGGCAGTTCCGTCCTCTCCCGAAAAATACCCCACACCTGCATGAATCCCGGCTCGCATCCCGGGTCTGCTGCTTACTAGGTCCGGGCCCTTGGGCAAGGAGCTCACGCTCTCTGCACCTCAGTCCCCTCATCTGTATCCTGGAGGCAAGAGTAGTGCCTGCCACATGGGGTTACTGTTACGGGATTAAACAGTAATTACAATGAAAGTGCCCAGCATAGTGCCCAGCACAATCTGAGAACATGCAAATGGGTTTTTCCTCACTTCACCCAGCTCCCAGCAAGATCAGCCTAGAGCCCTCTGTGGGAAAAAGGGCGGCATGTCCACCCTTCCAAATCCCTCCAGCACCACAACCCACTCTCTGGGCTAGCCTTTCTGAGAGTTGGTCAGCAGGAGCATCTCTCCCCAAGGGACACAGCCTCACAAGGCCGGCGGCCAGCCGCCGGGAGACTTTGGGAAAGATGGCCGCTTCCAGCTGAGCCTGCCTCTGGTCCTGTAAGCAGAGGTTGCTCCCAGGGCCAGCCCTGCCCCCTCCACCTTGGGTTTCCGCCTCACCTTAACAGTGTCGTAGCCGAGCAATCCGGTCATACTCCCGGAGCCGTAGTGCAGCGTGAAGGACCGGTTGGTGCCCTGGAAGGTGGAGGACTTCTGCGGGTTGAAGGCTGTGTGTCTAACTGCAGACACAGAGAGTGAGTGTCTGTCAGCCTACCAAGCCTGGGGGTGCAGTGCTGGGGCAGGGCTTGGGGGCACTCACCACAGGCACGACTGAAGCAGTAGATGGAGGGCACCCACAAGTCAGCGGAGCCTGTGTCAAAGATGACCTTGAATTCCTGAGGGGGCGTTCCAATGCTGACAGTGCCGACGTAATACAGCTGCCGGGGCCAGGGAGGGGTGGTTAGGCTGAGCTAGGCTGCCCTGGCTACCCCTGGTCCCCAGGGTGCCTGCCTCCGTCAGGATGGCCTGTGTCTCCCGAAATCACTTTCCAATCACCCCACCTCACAGCTGCTGCTCCGGCCAGTGCCTTCACTTGAAAAGTTCTCCAATCTCCCTTGCAGCTCTCCAAATTCTTCATGGCCCAGCTTGAGTGCTTCCTCCTCCAGGAAGCCTTCCTAAGACACCCCAGGCCACTTTCTCCAGACTCAAAACATGTAACGTCCATATCATGCAGGTGGCCCTTTTATTTGATTTATTTTCTCTTTGTCTCTTCTTGTGGAAGAGATGAGACCCTTTGTGATCAATAATAACAACCTTAACATTAGCGGTTTTATAATCTCACACACTGCAGCGGCTCACTAAATTTTTACTGGTCTTGGGGCTGTGGAGGCCGAACTTCCTCTGCCTGGGGTATCAAAATTGATTCACAGTTGGCTTTGTTGTTCGCTCAGGCATGGCTCACTCTTCAACTATAATGCAGTGGTTTGTTTAGTTCAGAAGGAACAGAATCTGTCAAACCAGTGCCGTGGTTCACAGGTGCCTGGTGCTATATCCCTGGCATTGATATGGATGTTTACCTGCCACCTGGTCATAGCTGGACTCAGTCACCACAGACGAAGAGCTGAGGGTGGGAGTGACTCCTCCTCTGGGGACAGGACCCTTGTTCCCCAGCTGTGCTGCCTTTGGGAGCCCTAGCCCCAACATCTTGGCTCCCACCTCCAGCTGAATGCCAGTGCTTGACCAGAACTCTAGGGGGTGCTGTGGAGTGCGACACCCATCATACTCACATCCAGGTAGTTCCTCATGGATTCATAAGTTACTCCCGGCTGTTTCTGAATAAACCTGTAAGCCTGGCTGTAAGGATGCTCCTCCAGGTAATCTTTCAGCAGGTCTTTTTCCCTGAGGCTTTCTCGCATGGACTTGATCTTCGTTAGAGGGATTCTTTCATTGGGAAAGGGAAATAAAAATAAGCCAACAATGCGCTGCCCCATGGTTCAGTGTAAGCACCACATCCTGCATTGTAATCACATACTGTATTTTCCAAGTATTTTTCTTAATGTCATATTATCAGGGCAAATCACCCAACAACATAAAAAGACCATGGCAATGGTCCTAGGTTTGAATGTAGGTTCCGCTGTAGCCCTGGGTAAGCCATATGACCTTTTGGAGCCCCGGTTTCCCCATCTGTAACGAAGTGGAATGATATGCCCCCCTCACATAGAGTGTTTTGGTTATTAAGTGAGACAATGGCTATAACACACCTGATCACAAGGGAGAGCTTGACAATGATAGGCATTGCCATTGCTACTGTCATCTCATTGTCTCTTCCTCAATGAAACCTTGGGGAGGAGGTAGAGTGGGAACCATTATCCTCTTTTACAGGGAAGAAATATGAATTGCAAGGAGTCTGTGACTTGGTGCTGGTCATACTGCCTGTTACAGCAGAACTGGACCTTAAAGTATCCCTCCTGATTTTTCTCCAGGGTTCAAGTGGAGTAGAAGGCTGAGGGAGGAAGCCAGGAGATGGGGAATACCTTAGGAAAATTCAGAGGATAGAGAAACAAGAATCAAAATAGAGAAAACACACACAGAGATTTTCACATGCACAGAGACACCCAAAGAGGTGGAGAGATGGAAGGAAGAGACACAGAGACGAAGACACAGACACAGAGACACATGCACATGGAAACCGAGAGGGAGCAGGCAGAAGACCTAGAAGCAAATTGGAGAGAAATGCTGTCCCTAGGTGGCACTGCACTTCCAGCCGCACTGGTTGTGCCCTGAACAATTCCGGGGAGCACCGTTCACATAGCCCACCTACAGCCTGGAGATGTGTAACCCCACAGGCCTGTCCCAAGACCCCAGGGCCCAATAGTGCATATGGCAAGCTGCTCATCAGTAAATGGAGACTTGGACCTCAAGACAGGGAATGCCGGCATTCTCTATCCCTGGGTGGTGGAGGACTACGAGGACAATGAGGAAGAGCCGAGAAGAGAGCTGGTGTTACCTGCAGTCCCTGTACTTACGTGACCAAGCACTCTGAGAGGGCCACCAGGCTGAGGAACCCGATCCACTTCATGCTTTCCTCCTGGATTCACGTACTCAGGAATGAGGGAGTTTTGAGCACGCAGTGATGGGCAAGTGCTGCCGGTTATATTTGCTCTTATCTGCCTTCATTGTCCCTGCGGAGGGCTGTTGATGGCCCCGATAAGAAATACATACCTCCCGATAAGATCTTTATTCCCATCAGTGTTCATAAGGAAGGGACTTAGAAATTTTTCAGAACACAGAGATCTCTGTTGCAATCTCTTCCTTGGGGCTTGACTGGGGAAAAAAAAAAAAAAAAAAAAAAGGCAAAGCCGAAACCACACAGTCTAACAAAGAGTGGAGAGATGCTTGCTATCTTGGAGATAAAACACAGCTAAGCATGTCATAAAAATAAATGCTAGCTGCCATGCTTGACATTCTTGGTCTCATATTGTCTTCGTACTGATCTTGTGAGCTGTGTTGCTATCTGCATTTGGAGAAGAGATTGCAGGAGGAACAGAGGTCAAATGACAGGGTGAAGACTTTGGGGCAGCCTACTGACATACGAGTGGCTTTAGGTAATGGAAGAGATGGCACAAGTCCGGGGTACTTATGGTGTCACTCTGCTTCAAAAACTTAGGCTAGACCTGTATTACCATAGTACAATTTTACTATCGGAAGAAATGTGATGCATGCATCCAAAAGATACTTTAATCATCCAACAAACATTTATTGATGGACCCAGTGTAGGCCGGGGTCTGGACTAGATGCAGGGAAATCCAGTAAGACTGGTGGCCCTTGCCTTTGGGGAGCTTGCAGTCTAGGGTAGGACTCATGAGCTCAAGGCCCAGGAAGCAGGGGAAATGAACAGAGGGCTGGATGGCACCCTGGGCACAGGGCAGCCCAGGCCCACCACAAAGGGGCAGTCTCTGCTCAGCTTGGACCAGCGGCTGCCAGGCTAGAAAGCAGGCTGGTTGGCCAAATTGTCAAGAGATGTCTGAAGTCTGGATACTTATGCGAACTGCCCTGATTTGTAAATGTTAAACTTTTTTCCAAAGTTGTAGTATCAGCCAAACTTCAACTGTGGGCTGGATTCAGCTTGCAGGCTGCACAGGTTTTATTTCTTGCCTAGAGGTGGGAGTAGAGGGGACTAGGGGGAATGTTCAGTTCATGTTGGTTGAATGACTAACAGATTAGAAGCATCCTAACCATGTTAATTTTCCTTCCATTGGTCATAAAAAGACCCCCAGGGTCAGCTAAATCAACAAACTTAAAAACTTCCACTTACTGAGCCCCAAATGTAATTCCCCCATTGGATCCATGCCTTAGAAACATTTTCTCTGCCAAACCAACCATAGAAAGAAATAATCAATTTTTAAGTGTCTTTCCAATCAAAGAAGATAAAAATCAACCATTAGAGCTTCTGCACAGCCTGAAGTGAACAGGGATACCCATGAAACTGGCCTTACCCCAGTCAAAGTCAAGAGAGTGGAATTCATAGGTCCTTCCAGGACCCCCAGGATCTCAGTGTGCCCATGTGAGATCTGTCCAGGTCTGAGTCCCTTGCACAGGCGCTGGCCTCGTCCCCCAGCTGAGGTGGTAGATGGAGTGGGGACTCTGCATCTTACCCCTCCTTACTGACCATTGTTAAAATTCAGTTTGCGTTGTTCAGCCCTTGTGGAGGGGATTGGACAGCAGGTAGCAAATGACACACCCGTAAGTCCTTTAACTCAACTGTTCTCCAAGGGACGTATCCCAAAGACACACTGGCAAAAATAAACAAAGATGTAGGTACAAGCTGTGCACTGTGTTGTTAGTTCCAAAAACAAAAGATTAGAAACACCCCAGATGTGACCATCCGCAGGGGAGTGTTGGATAGGCGCCCGCGCCTTCGCCCAGCCGGGCGTAGTGCAGACGGAAAGAGCAATGAGTGGGCGTGGTCTCTAGGGTGCCCTGATTCATTTTAAAAAGGGGGCAGAACAGGGTTTCCGATTTGCTGCTTTTACATACACACAGACGTATACACGCATATGTATATTTTCAATAAGAAACAGTGCAAGAATAAACAAAAAAACTAATAAAAATTGTAATTCAGGGTGAAGAGCAGGGGTGGAAGTGAGGGTTTCCTTGTTTTATGTTCACCTTTGCAGTAAGCGCTACAGAAAAAAAAAATTTAAAAGATCACATCCCTCGAAACTGAGAACAAACTAAAACAAATGGGCCTAATTTATCCTACAGAGCAAAACATTATTTCAGGTGGCTTTAAAATGAAGAATTTTTGGCTCTGCATTCACAGTCAGATATTTTCTATGGAAAAAAGAAAAGAAAAAATCCCATGAAATCTGAATCTGTACCCAGAAACCTTATTGTTGGTGACACTATTCCTTTGAAACTACTAAATGTATGTCATAGGTTAAAACACAGAAGTAATTATGCGAATGTTGTTATGAAACAAGATTTTTAGCGGAAAAGAGATAAGCATAAAATAAGAAAGGTTAAGTAAAGCCCTGCGATCTTAAAACTTGAATTGGAAATATAAGTTTGTACTAATTATTTTTGTTCTAAAAATATGTATCTTCTGGCTCTGCACACTGAAAAGCCTAGAGGCAATGAAAACCTGGCAACAGTGAAGAGCCTGAGGCCTGGCCTGTGGACTCTGTCATTTTCCACTAACGGATGCAGAGATTTTTGAGGAGGCGGCTAATTTGGGAGCTGGCCAACAGATGCCCAAGAGGAGCCTGGGGCATCCTGAAGGGCGGGGTGCCCTGGGCCTGACCAAGGGCGCAGGAATGGGCATGAGGAGGCAAAAATAGGACAAGCTGAGCATCACATTAAATCGACTGAAACAAGTTAAATATATAAAAAGACAGGAGTTTCACCTGATGTACAACAGCTAATATGTCACCGTGGGGGATTGTTAGGGTATCCATTTATTACTGTGATCATCAAGAGGGCAAGGAAAATAATGATCCATCTTGATTGCTATTTTTATCTGGATGAAGTATATTTCACATAGCTAGACATGGTAGATGGAGGAAAGGTTTTTTTTGTTTTGTTCTGTTTTTTAATTGAAGAATACCAGCAATTAAATTGAAAAGGAATGGTAGTGTTAGGAAATCAGTGTTTTATAACTCCTAATGAAACAATGGCTGTAGGCAAAGATCACCAATGATTGCTAAGAGCTGGAGGTGAAAGGTCAAAATGAAGTTTGTAATGAATGGATGAAGTTGGCAACATCAGGACCCACAGACAAATCTAAGCATCTGTAAAAGTGGGAAGACTAGAAGTTATGGGCCTCTTGGAGTGATGCAATAAAAAATTTGTGGAACTACCTGTAATGGACTTCAATAAAAAATTTTGAACTCAAGTCTAGATCTAATGACCAGTTTTCAGGAGATGCACGGGTCTGCAATTTTCAAACTTTTTCATGTTATGGCACACATAAGCTAATTACTAAAATTCTGCAGCACACCACAAAATATATCTTTTGCCATCTGGTGAAAAATAGGTATAATTTTTATTCATTCACAGAGGACGGTTATTATAGCATTGGCTGATGTCATTTTTTTTTTTTTTAATTTGACAGTCTAAAGGAAAAGAGGTCAGTGCCCCTGACTAAATAGTCAGGTATTGCATGTTTAAAAAATTTTTGAGGTACTTAAGCTGAAAATCACTGCCATCCATAAAGGAACAAGAAAGCAATAATCCAAACCCAATATTTGAGACATTCTGTAGGACAAATGATCCCACCTCTTTTCACTTTTCAAAGAAATGAGTGGCATAAAAAGGGGGAAAGACTGTATTTATGAAAAGTTTTAAGGAACAACAACCAAATGCAACATATGTATACATTTTCTAGATCCTGGTTCCTGATTGGAAAAATAAACTATTGAAAGGCATTTTTTGAGAGAATCAGAGAAATCTGAATGTGGGCTAGATAATAGATGATATTAAAGTTGTTCACTTTGTCTGGGATAAAATAGCATTGTGGTTATGTATACACACGTATACGTATGTGTGTGTATATACATATATGTAAAGCGTGTGTATGTATGTGATAATCTCTGCCTTAAAATATTCCAGCAAAAATGAATAAAGGATAAAAACTTTTAAATGAGGGTCTAGATAAAACAAAAATTTGTGTAGTTGCTATGGACCGCATTGTGTCCATCCCCAAATTCTTATGTTGAAGCCCTAACTCCCAACATGATAGTATTTGGAGATGGGATGGTAATTTTAACCTCGGGGAGGTAATTAGGTTTAGGTGAGGTCATGAGGGTGCCTGTCCCTTTTCCCCTGCACTGTGAAGACACAGTGAGAAGACAGCTGTTTACAAGCCAAGGAAAGGGTCCTCAGGAACCATATTGGCTGACACCTTGGTTTTAGACTTCTGGTCTCCAGGCTACGGCAGCCTGGGCTAAGGCGGTAGTGTTGTCATTTTTGACGCTGAGTGATAAAACAAAGCATGTGTGATCCTACTTTTTAAAACAACTCTTGTAATGCTTGAAATTTCTTTGTACTAAGATGTTTTAAAAACTTTCATTTTGAAGTTTCTGTCTTTATTGATACCCAGAGGGGCCTGAGCAAAGCAGACCCAGGAAGGCCCCCAGGGGCTGAGTCATGGGAGCCTCACCTGCTTGTTTGTCCAGCTTCTCTCCTGGGAACTGACCCTGCCACCCCCTCAGGGCTGCCTGGCTGTCCAGCTTGCAATTTTGAGGAGCCGCGTCAGGGCCTGGAGGTGGAAGGAATGAGGAAATTTTTAGGAAAGATAAACTGGGCAGCTCCCTCCCTGGCTTCCTCTTCCCCACTGTAGAGTAAGGGATAGGGCTTGGGTAAGCAGCAGCCAAGAAGTGAAGCCATGGGGTATTTCGAAGGCAAGTGGGGGAGGGATGCACAGCCGAGTGACCGAGGAGGGCAGCCTGTCCAGGACCCGGGAGGGGCTGGGATGGGGAAGGAGGTCTGGGGAGGGGACAGGGCCTGCCAGGGCTCCGGTGCCGCCTGGGCCTTCCCGGGCGCCGTGCTGCAGGGCATACCCTTCCTGCTCCAGACACA